ATTCAGATTGCAAAAGATGCCACAAATTTTGCTCACCGGAATAGAACATTTTGCGCTATGGTAACACTCGATGTTAAAAACGCATTCAACTGCGCTTCCTGGGACAAAATTGTAGAAAAGTTACAAAGGCGAGGCATAAACAATCATATTATATTAGCTACTATCCAATCTTACCTAAGTGGCAGGAAACTAATCCTAGAAGCAGACAGGCAGACGCAAGATTTTACTATTAGTGGAGGTGTCCCACAAGGATCGGTACTTGGACCAACCTTATGGAATGTTCTGTACGACGATCTGTTCCGGATTGATATGCCAATGGGCGTGACTTTAATTGGTTTCGCTGATGATGTCGCTATGGTTGTAACGTCACATAATGAGGAAACAGTAATGAATTAAACGCCGCCCTAGCAAGAGTAACACACTGGATGATGGACCATCAACTCCAGTTGGCACCACATAAAACTGAGGTTGTAATATTGACAACACGAAGGAAGATGACTCCCATATCTTTTCAAATGTTGGGATCAGAAGTTGGACCGAGTAAGGCATTGAAATATCTGGGGGTATGGCTAGACAGCAAGCTAACTTTTGAAGAGCATGTAAGTAAAATTGCTGTTAGGGCGCTATCCTCGTTGATGCCAAATATCCGAGGTCCTAGGTCATCCAAAAGACGGATCCTGACAAGCGTTGTGCATTTACAAATTCTATATGCCGCACCGGTATGGCACAAAATAGTTGAGAATTGCAAACATTTGCAGAAGCTTGTTAGAGTGCAAAGAGTGTTATGTATAAGGGTGAGCAGTGCATATAGAACCATATCAGGAGAAGGAGTTGGGGTCATATCTGGAATTCCTCCTATAGATCCCCTAATAAAAGAGAGAGAAGAGGTGTACAGTGGTACGGCTAAGAGAATAGCCAGAGACTTACTGATAACCAGGTGGCAGGAAAAATGGACACAGGGGACCTATGGAAGATGGACGTTTAGACTGATTCCAAATGTGAAGAAGTGGTTGGATCGACCCTGTTATTAGGTGGACTACTATCTCACCCAGGCAATATCGGGGCATGGTTGCTTTGGAAAGTATCTACATATAAGAGGTAGAGCAAACACCCCTCTGTGTAACCAATGCCAGGAAGAAGAGGATGTAGAACATTCTTTGTTCAAGTGTCTCCGATGGAATGAAAGAAGAAGAGAATACTTTAGAACAACAGGTAGAATATTTGATATTGATGAAGTAGTAGAAAGACTGGTAGGAACTGAACAAGACTGTCAAGATGTGACAAACATAATGAGGGATATAGTGAGAGAGAAAGAGACCAGCAATATGATTTAGAGTAGTTTTTTATACAGCCACTGCCAGGGCCTATTTTACCATAAGGCCCATAAGGCCCGGGCCTTGGGCCCGGTTGTCTGGGGGGCCTGTTAAAGGTTGTATAATATTCATAATTTCTTGAATTTTTGAATTTTATTGGAAAAGAGGGCCCGAATTTTTGTTTTGGCCCGACCAGATGAAAAATAGGCCCTGGCCACTGCGATGAAGTAATGCGCGAGCGGTTCCGTTGCAGTTGGTGAAGTAAAAGGAGGCGGTTTTTTTCGTCGGTAAGAAGGTAAGAATCCGACACTACCAAGATTTTTTACCCTCAAAAAAAAAATGAAATTTAAAAATTGTTCTTCATTTTTAGAAAATGTTAAATATGTCAAAAATCTTACATTTCTCTTTCTTTTTTCTCTGAATGAAACTTACCTTTATTTTTTTCCTAGAATCCGAAAATCAATTAATATATAGGGTGTTTCCATTACAAAAAAACACAACTTTGATGTGTAACTTTTTTTGGGGATGCCCTGTAGAACTCTCAATTTGAATTGAATTGAAGGACTGTACAATTCAAATCTCTCAGGCCTTTTAAGGCTACTATTAGATGGCAAGATCAAGGCCATGCGAATTTTACTTACTTGCATTACCACTGCTCATCATTAAATAAATAAAATCAGTGAAAATCTTAAACAGAAATATTGATAAAGACTTATTACGTACCAAACTACTAAATTTTTAAAAGTCAATGAAAATCTTACAAGAAGATTATGCGAGGTTGGTTGGTTTCTATTTCTAATCCGACTTCTAGACAACACTTTTTTGCAACGCGCATATATCGAAATAATAAAAGGACGCGAAGGGCCAAAAATTCCACACACACACACGTTACAAGCGACCCCGAAAATAAAAGAAAGCTTAGTCGTGTTCGAATTGAGGGGGGTTCGGGGGTCGGAGGACGAGAACTAACATCTGCTCTATTCATATCGCCTCTCTTTCATACGCAAATCGGGCTCGGTTTTCGCCTTTGATGCCGTTTCTTTTCCTATATATCATTTTTATTCGGGATAGAGACGATGATTCGATCGATCTACCTGGGTATTGTTATCCCAAATTTTTAGATTTAATCGATTTTTTGAAGTGAAACTTCTTTAAGCGCGTTGGGAGTAAAAATTCAAGGTCGTGACACACGACAGTGTCACACAGCGGCAGTGTTGCCACAGCTACCCTTTTTGGGGTAGCTTTACCCCTTTGTAAAAAAATTAACCCCGTTATCTCGTGACAATCTATCCCGATGAAAAATAAGCTTGTGGCAACACTGGGTAACGATCTGTGCCATACGCGGCTAAGAAAATCACTATAATAAACCTGAAAGTCTACAAACCTTGACAGCATGCATATTTTCATCGATAAGTTTGTAGCTTCTGAATACCGGTCTAGGTAAAGCATCTAGCTCATTTGCCAGCTCAGAATTAGAATTTAGAGTTAGTAACTCGAATTTTCATTGGAGGACACTGTTATATTTATTTCAAACCAACAATCACCGAGAATATTCGTATAATTTAATAAAATGAATGTAAATCACTATAAATAATGAATTGTTTGTAATTGAGCATTTGTAATTTCTGTCAGTGTTGTTATTAATCCGGTAAATGATGGAGATAAACAATTGTGATTGATTAAAATTTGATTTTAAGATGAAACTTTTGTTAACAACATTCTGAGAACTTGGAAGGAGCGATTTCATCGCTCGTGAATTAATTTCGGGTGACGATGATGCAATTTTATCGTCGTCTATAAAACAATATTTTTTTCCATAGCTAGTTACGTTTTAAAAAATATTCAGAAATTATTATTTCAAGGAATTTATTAGAGCAGAAAAAATATTGTGCTGGGCTGGCGTTGGATTCTATGTAATTTGACAAATAAATAAAGCTGTCTCTTTAGTTGTCAGTTTTGAGTGAATAATTTTTAACTCTCTTTCGTGTCGATTGCTGATTGAATTGGAGCCAGAAATGGCTCAAAACGAAATAAGTAAATTACCAACAGATATTCAGGCTGAGGCGACAAACGCCATATCCAAACTACTTCCATTTAAATCCCGAATAACTTATGAAAAGGAATACAAAAATGGAAGCAATTAAGAAACGTGTGAGAAGAAATAAAGTTTTTAACCTATCCTTGTTGTTAAAGTATCATTTAATCTTCCCTTGCGGTTAAGGTACTATTTTATCTAATATTTTTGATAGATATAAGGCAATTTTAACAGTTGCTACGAAGAAAAGAGTTTTTATTTTCCTGGTCCTAAACCTGCTAACGTCATTTCAATTCCACAAAGTTTTTTTAAGGAAGCTTTAGTTATTTAGTTTACGCGATTTATAGATGATAAACATCAGGTCCCTGCGTCCCTAATTATAATTTAATTTATTAGAGAGCTTCAAAATATCTCACCAATCTTAATTACCCCAGAGACATAATCCATCAAAAATTACTCGGATTTTTCAACTTTTAAATCTGTTATCTAGTTAATTTAATTAGTTAGTATATAATGATATTTCCATGGCATAGAAATGAATAATATTATGCTTTTTTAGGTAGTATAAACAAAATGAAAGAGGTGCGATTTATTTATTATGATATTTATATTTAAATAAGAGTATGATAGTGTAAAGTGTTTATATTAGAAAAAGTTGGGGTTAAATTATATTCGTTTGACTTATTATATTGGTAATTTGTTAAAACTTGTTAAAATTAAACAAACAAACAAATTAAATTTGCAATACCTGTACCTTATACTATAGGCGTTATAATTTTTTATTAATAATTATATTTTGGTTGAACTTCGTTTGAGTTATATAGAATACCGGGTGTTTTTCAAAAGTGATTCAATTAGTTCGTTTACTTCCTGCATCACCAGAAATGACTACAACTTTTGATTTTTAAATGTGTCCTCAGGTTTTTTTACTTTATTTGATAGTAAATGATATTCTGATTAGAATGACATATATCAGATGTAAACTTTTGACATTTTCTATAAATGTAACGACAATTTTACTCGAAATACCAAGTATGGGGTACAAAATTATTTGTAAAAAGATGATTTTTCTAAATATGCTACTGAGTCATCCTTGTTCCATTTGAAAAAATTGAGTTATGATTGAAAATACGATTACGGGCATCTTTTAATCAGCCATTAAAAGACACAAAAACCATTAGACTATCAAATCTATTTTTCCAAAGCGCCGTGATTAAAAATTAGTGGTTTTAGCACAGCCATGGCGCTCTAGATTGAAATTTAAAATGATAATTTTTTTTAAACGAAAATGTCAATAGTTGACATATAATATGTTCTATTCAGAATGTTATATTCTATCATGTAACTTAAAAATACTTAGGGTACTATTTAAAAATCAAAAGTTGTGGTCATTTCCGGTAAAACAAAAAGTGGCCGAAAGTAATTGAATACGTCAATCAATCCCGATTTATATCATATACTAATATTCGTTTATTTAAGCCACTTTTGAAAAACACCAGGTATATGATGTGATATATGTATATATATGTGATATGGTATATATGTGTAGACTATGCCATAAAAAAGTAAATTTTATAGATTTATACAAAACTCTATTTTACGTTGTATTTGTGGCCGACATTTTAATTTATTGCATTTCTTTTAAATTTCAGATATTTTCAACATTTGGACAAAATCATATCAACAATAAGTCAATTAAGTAAGTATACTTTCTTTATGAATTTTTATTGCAAATATGGATTGTCCTCTAAGAAGCTTTTATTAGCATTATAGCATTCACTATAGTAAACGTTTGTTTCAAAATTAGCAAAGACATTATAAAGATAGACCGAACATCTCATTCATAAATACTCGTTGGTAGTGTATCAAACATTCCAATGTGTCAAACAAGGACAGAAGAGACAGAGAAGTCTAAAATTTCCGACCCCGGCAACTAGGCGCATTTGGATTGTTCTAATGGCCAGTGGCGTATCGTTTTTTGGAACTAATTTAATTAGTAAAGTAAAAAGTAAAGTAATTAGTAAAATTTTTACTCCATATTAATATACTACATTAACACTTTTTCGTTAGATGTGTTTTGTTATAAGGTCTAATATAATAATATAATTAATATCCCACATATACTTATGTTGAAACGTTAGTAGGTAGTTTTCGAAAATCGCTCCAACGTCGATATTCAATTTATACTTTCAGTTACTTCTATATAAACACTCAGTTACTTTTTGAATACTTACAGGGTGACTCAGGCTTCCGAAACAGTTCTATATTAGGTTTGTGGTTAGTGACTTTTCTTTCAATTTTTTTTTTTAGAATATGGAGGCAATGGTAAAGCACCTTTTAGACATTTTTGTAATCATAGGTGGCCGGAACATATTTTCAAACTAAAGTTGTAGATTTGCCATTACATTTCCATTACAGAAATACCTAGGGTTGCCACCTGTCCTTTTTTGAAAAGGACAGTCCTTTTTTGGAATAACTTGTCCTTTTGACTTTTTTTGACTTAAAAAGTCATTTTTATTTAAGTATTTTCCCTGAGAGAAGAAGAGAACTTAGAACTTCCCGTTTAATATCTGAGAAAATTACCTACAGCAAACAGAAATATTCTTTTCGTGCAAATTTAATTGTTGAGGTGTTATAAATCTTATAAATAATTTTTTCTTGTTTAGAATAGGCAACATTATTTAGAATTTCCCGTTTAATCTCAAATGATAGTTTAGGTTTTAGTTTTACCATTTTTGATCTTAAAAAGAACTTTTCAAAATTAGTAATTAGTAACGATTTAGTTAGTTCGCAATCGATAGCTTCCTGTGAAGTACTGTGTAATAGTTGTTTAATCTTGTATTATTAATAACTTCCTATACCTAAAATCAATATTTATTTTTATCCTTTTAGTCTCTCAATAGAGGGCATTTATCATTAAAAGTATCAAATCTGTGTGCTACAGTATGGGCTTTCTGTCGCATAATAATGAATATTACGTTTATTTACAAATCCATTACTTAGGTAGCTTAATCAGACAATCAAATTTTAGTTAAACGTCCCAATCTTCATGAACTGTATTAAGCATATGTATTGCGGTTTGAATCACCCTGTATGTTTACAAAAATATTTTGAAAATGTGCGTTACAATGGCCCCGATCTTATGTAAAGATTGAAATAAAAATCACAAACCAAAAACGTAATAGGTAAAAAAAGCTTTTTGGAGGCCTGGGTCACTCTGTATATAGGTATGTATAAAACTAGTAGCCTAAGAATTATTTATAGTTCGTCCCATTCTAAAAAAGGTAAACACATCGTACAAATAACTCTAGGAAGAGGTATTTGTATTGTACGGTGGTAAAAAACTTTGTCTAAACAAGACCGAAGGGGCAGATACAAGATATAATTAAGCAATAAAATGTAAAAAGGTCGGGTAAACACCTTTGTTTATTTGTTGAGCAAAATTCCTTTAGAATATCGTATATAATGACCAAAATATGACGCAATTAAAGAAAAATGTCACATTTTCTGGCATATAATAAAGTTTCAAATGCAACGTTTATATTCAAATTTGTTATGATCTGAACAGTTAGGTAGTAATTGAGACGAATTATAATTCAATTACCGGCTACTACGTTCTTGTTTTAATAGATCAAAATTCAACAAATATAATTAGACATTACTTTAATTTTGAGAGGCTCCCTTGTGGGACGCCTATGTTACGATTACGGCGGAAACAATACCTACCTGTGAAAAAGACAAATTCGGGTAATTTGAGCTTATTTTTCCACACATTTGACACTGTCCTCCCATATTGAAAATTCGCAGATTCAAAAGTACGTTAAACAAAAACAAAAACTACTGAAAACCACTGAAAAGTTCACTTCGGCCTTGATTCCGACTTCAAACACACCGTAAGCTAAACGTAGTACGCTATAACGGACAAAGGGCCGTCGCGAGGGGTGGTGGGACGGACGGCTCATTTCATTCTGGAAGACTAGCAGCGACGTTGCCAATAGTTCTAGACGTTTCAGCACATTAAACAGTAAACATGTCCTTTAATAGTAACGCATAGATCCTCTGGTTAATAAATATTATTACGCATGCTTCTTTAAAGATAAACTATTAATTTAATTAAGAAATTGAGATTTATTGATATCCGGTGAAGGTTTTAAGAAGTCACCTTTTCTGCAAATCAAACTAAGTAGATAGGCGCAAATTTGAGATGTGGCAATGTCGCCTTCTTTATCTCAGTTGGTTTTTACAGTACGTAGTCAACCCCCGGTTGTTTGATCGGGTTAAAATGCACAATGTGATATCTGTTCTTACTAAATCTATGAAAATTAGTTATTGAAGTTTTACTAGCGTAGTGTTATAGCTCTACTTACTACCGTGTATTTTGCGATTAAAATCTTTGTTCTGTACATACAGCAGTAAATTGTTACTTAGTTAAACTTCATTCAACTAAACCTAACGTATCTTCGTTAAATTTCTCAGAGGCGTATAATTAGATACCATAAAATGCCGAGTACTCATATTTCATTTGTAATTGAAAACTACACCTACTGGTTTGAAAATTGTGGTTTACCAAGAATTTATCATCTTAATGAAAAAAAACTGGTATCTTATTACTCTGTAAAACATTTATAAAGTAATAAATAAGAATATTTTATTAACATTAATAATTAAACATAGGGGGAACCTTTTTTCAATATTGATATAATCATTCATCATCATGCTCAGCTTATTCAACTATTTCCAATTATGGTGTAGCATGCATCACATATTTAGATACTTTCTTTGTAGTTGGGCCCATTATTGTCTATGCGGACCCAAGTTATCCCTGCTAATTTCCTAATATCCTGGTCCCATCTCAGGCTTGGTCTTCCTCTAGGTCTCTTAATTCCTCGTCGTGGGTACCATGCTGTAAATTTTTGTGGTCTATCTGTTGTTCATCCTTCTTTGTCTATTGCTACTTGAGGGATTTGATTCTGTGGATGACATCTATTACCTGGATCCTTTTGTCGTATCCACTAGTGATGGGACCACTCGAGCGAAATTTCGCTCTAGTACTCGATTATTGAAATAACCGACATCGCTCGATTATGAACGAGCGATGCAAGTGACGAGCACCAAGCGATCCTAGAATGAAATAAATTGAAATCCGATTTTAATGTGACATACTCGATAAAAAGCCGAGCGAATTTTCTACATAGGTACATTGCAGGTAGTAAATTTATATGACGCCGAATATATATATTTATCTGTTGCGAGAGATAAAATTTTACAACCTACATCGACAATGCTTTGAAATAAACTAAAACAAGCGACCAAGCGAATCGCTCGTCGTTTGCTACTTGCCATTCATCACCGAAAGAATCTGTACCCTGCGCACGCAACTTACTGCTTGGCGCTTGGCGTTAACGAGTACTTACAACAAGCGGCGGACGAAAACCCGTATTTTTAATTACGAGCGATATTTCGCTCAAGCGATCGCTCGGTTTTTCCCATCACTAGTATCCACTCTATTCTTTTACGATCTTTCTTGGTTATTCCCAGCATATTTCGTTCGATTGAGCGTTGTGCGACTTGCAGTTTCTTTGTAATGTCCGTTTTAAGTGTCCAGGTTTCGCATGCATAGGTGATGACTGGTAGTACACATTAGTCGAATCTTTTCTTCTTTAGATAAAGTAGTATTCTAGATTTGAATATGATTGATATAGTGCTTCTGAAGTTAATTGGAAGTACTGGGACTTAAATGGTTTGTCGAGACGATGCCGATAATGAACAAATGATACTGATAAAGTGACAAAACACTGATAAAGACACTGCCGAAATTGAGGCTCCGAATCTATTACAAATGACTTCAGAAAAACTGTAGTAAAATATCTAAAAAATGACGATATTCATTAATCGTTAAGTATCACAACATATTTTAATCGATTTAAATTAATAATTTACATTTATTTTGTAATTTTAAAATGACATTTTGGGATCATATTATAATATAGGTTAACTGAAAGAATTTTTAAAAAGTCTAGAGGGTAATACCACAGAATATCTAGCTACGCAACAGAAGCCTCGTTACATGTATAAAATTGTAGGTAGCAAAAGGAGACAGGCTTTAAAAGCCTGTCTCCAAATCAGATATTTTGATGTGGTAGTTTCGCTACTACATAATAGAGGGCAATAAATTTAAAAGAAAACAGTTTTCTACAAACAAAATTTAAAAGAATTTTGTGCAGTGTTGCCATTGTGTAATTCAGATCGTAATACTTCCTGATAAAGCCTACCTTCAAATTTGCTACATCATTTAAACATATTAAAATAGATCACAGATGTTTTTTTCAGTTTGCCATGTTAGTTGGAATTAAATCTTATGAGCTAAATTACAATCACTTCCTGACGTTTAATTGAAAATTGAATCCTGAATTTTCATTGTAATTCGGCGACAATATAATAAGTATTGTTCTACTATTATGATACCACTTCCTGACGTTCGATTGTGTTCATACCAGAGATATGGAAGTGGGAGAATGAGCTTCGACGAGTGCGCATCCAAATTTTTGTCGACGGCAAGATAGCAGACATCTTCCAGGTCTCGCTGTCACTTCCCCTCTTTAATTGACATCTGTTTGTTTTGTTTTGTTTTTCGTTTGTGTTGTTACCTAGTTAAAATTTATTATCTCAATTATTCTAAACACTAATTCAAAAGGCTTG